CCTCTTCCTCCGCCTTCTCCCTGCTTTCTCCGGTCCTTCTCATATCCTCTCTCTCTTCCAAATCCGTCCGTCTGCTGGTACCTCTGCGTTTCGCCTGTCCCCCATCGTCCCTCCTCAGTGCGGGGAAGAAGGGATAAAGGAGACGGATGAGTGTGGAGATGGTGGAGACGAGGAAGAGCGCGAAGAAAGAATGGGAAAGCATGGAGATGACAACCGGGGGAGGATGACGACGATGACGGAGAGGGATCAAGATGACGAGAACGCGAAAGCTGAGAGTAGGGGGAACAGGAACATGACGTTGATACATTGAAAACGATGGGGAAATGATGGTTGGGGATGAGCAAGATGAGGAGGAATAGAAGGAGCTGGTGCTGGAAAGTTAGCCGCGCCTTGGTAGAAACAGTTAGTAGTTGTCGTTCAACCTTGAACGATCGGAGGCTTTCCGATCACCAAATCGTTATATGTTGGCCGATTCCGGGACACCAGCATCCATCGTTCCTCCATCGGCTCGCCTCTCCTCCCGTTTCCATCCTTACTTCCTTCATTCCCTCGCCGCTCCTTCTTCCCTCTCCCCATCCCCCATTCGCGTCTCCCTCCTCCCTTCCGTCCCTACTTGATCCTCCTCTTTTCCTCCCCCCCCCATCCCTTGCATCTCCTCCTCGCTCGCTCTCTCTAGCTTCCCTCCTCATTCCTGCTTCCATCGAGCTGAAACACATGTACGAACCATTCATTGAGGGACGAACTGATACGGCTCGAAGGCGCAGAGATGCGTGCCCCCCCCCCCTCCCCCTGCTCTTCCCTCCTCCCACCCATCTCCTCACCCCTTGCTTTGACCCCCCTGCTACTGATCCCTCCCCCTGCCTCCTCCTCCCCCTCCCTCTCCTCCTCCTCCTGCTCCTCCGTCCTCCTGCTCCTCCGCCCTGCCCTCCGTCCTCCGTCCTCGTCCTCCTCTTGCTCCGTCCCTCCGTTCTCTGGCCTCCTGCATCCTCCTCCTCCTCCTCCTTCTCCTCCTTTTCCTTCTCCTCCTCCTCCTCCTCCTCCTCCTCCTCCTCCTCCTCCTCTTTCTCCACATCCTCCTGCTCCATCCTCCTGCTCCTCCTCCTGCTCCTCCTCCTCCTCCTCCTCCTCCTCCGCCTCCTCCTCCACCATCTCCTCCGTCCTCTGCCAGCTCCCCTCCCTCCTGCGCCCACGCGGGCGCGGCAGCCGCGCCGCCTGGTGGCAGACGGAACTCCAATCCATGTCGTACACGTCCGACTCGGCCTTCGAGCGGGGGCGAGAAATACGAAAGCGGCATATCCATAGACTTGTGGAGCTCTGCGCAGATTTCTTGGATCGGCGCTGAGGCCCCCTGGCGGCGTCACCGGCGCGGAGCTCCAACAGATCATGCTCATGGAGCCGTTTCGCCTTCGAGGGGGGGAGCGAGACAGATGGGCTATACTGCCAAGCCGCGTTGCCCTGCCCGTTCTGCACATCCTGACCTGCAGACGAGGGAAGAACATGCGGAGGATGAGAGGAGGAGGCGAGGCGGACGATGATGGGAAAATGCGACGGGCGAGGAGAGGGCGTAGGAGGATGAACAAGAATGAGAGGAACAGAACGTGCGAAAACCCAGAAATCCCGATCCTCGTGCTCGTGTTCATCGTGTCCGTCGTCGTGGCCGTCGTCGTCGTCCTGCATCCCCCGCCTGCGCGCAAGAGAGACCTTTCGTGCGCGGCTTTCAAGGAGGCGCCGAGAGGCCAGACCCAGGCGCACAAGCCGCCGCTGCCGCATCGCACTCGGCGACAGGGGGAACTGGGTGGACCCGCACCAACGGCAACGGCCAATCTGGCGAGGAGCGAGGAGGAGGAGGAGGAGGAGGAGGAGGAGGAGGAGGAGGAGGAGTTGTTCGGGCGAGGGGGTGGTGCGACCGGCGCCCAGAAGGGGGATGGCGCGGGGGGGTGGGCCTCCAGGAAGGCGGCGGAGCTTCTGAGCCAGCACTGGGGGCTTCGTAGAGGCCCGCCCAGCTTCTAAGAAGCCGTCGCAGAAGCCTCTGGGGCCTTCTGAGAAAACCTCTGCCTTCTAAGAAGCCCCTCCGCGCACAGGAAGGGCGCGGTAAGGGCACGGGGCGACCCCAGAGGGATGCGCAACTTTACCTGTAAGTAGAGCCAGAACTGCAGCAAGTCATCACAATGCGCGGGGAAGCTCATCACGATGCCCAGGGCAGCCGCGGATTCCTCAAGGGATCCTTGCAATCCCTGGCCATCGCTCGGACGGCCATTCCCTGTGTTTTTGGCTCGGTGTCGTGCGTGTGTTTTTACTTTCGCAGGAGGATCCAGGATGCTCCTCAAGAATCCCCGCCGATGAAAAATGCGCACGTCCGAGCGATACCAAGATCCCCACTGGAGCCTAAGATCCCGCACCGCAGCCCAGGAGTTCTTTCCTGAGGCCTCCTCAGACGGCCCCCCCTCCTCCGCCTCCTCCTCCTCCGCCTCCCCCTCCTCCTCCTCCGCCTCCCCCTCCTCCGCCTCCTCCTCCGCCTCCCCCTCCTCCTCCTTCCCCTCCTCCTCCTCCTCCTCCTCCCCCTCCTCCGCCTCCTCCGCCTCTGCATCCTCCTCCTCCTCCTCCTCCTCCTCCTCCTCCTCCTCCTCCTCCTCTTCCAGGAGCAGGGGGGCAGAACATCCACCCCCACAGGAAACATCCCGACTGGCGAAGCCGTTCGGCAAGCGCATCCAAGGTCAGGAGTCGAGCAGGCCAGGGCTCTTCGGTAAGCGCCCAGGGCCGTTCAGTACACGCCCATCGTCGGGGTCTGGATGTTCTTCTCCTCCCTTCCGAGAAGCCCCTCCGCCTCCTCGCAGCTTCCCATCGCTTGGTCGTCCACTCCCCCGTGCAGCGCCTCGACCTCGTGCGCGCTCGCTGTTCTGCAGGGTGGGCCAACCTGCTCCAGGACGGTCCAGAGTTTCTGGCGCCGGCCCCGCCGAGAAACGTGCCCACGCCCGAGCGATGCCGAGCTGGCAGCGGAGCGCGCCAGGGGCGGGCGCCCTCGCTTGCCCCTCGGACTCGCCGCCGAGGAAGTGCCCTCGCAAGTCTGCCGCTGGCGCGCACTGGCGTGCGTTAGCGTCAGGTGCTCGCCGAGAGAGCGTCGACTCGCGTCGATGTAGCGTCGACTGGCGTCGGCTTAGCGTCGGCTCGCACGAGCCAGCAGGATGGTGCGGGAGGCCCCCATGAGCTGCCACCGAAGGTGGCGAGGGGGGGGTGGCGGGGGGCCTTCTACGAGGGCGAAGGGGCTTCTCAAAGGCATGGGCCTTCTTAGAATCGAGAGAGAAAACTCAACGTAAACATAACCATTCTGAGCTCCACACGCGGATTTCTTGGATCGGCGCTGGACCGCCCTGGCGGCTTCTCAGGAGGCTCGGAAAGCCTTGGGCCTGCCGAGAAGTTTTCTAAGCCTTCCCCGAAGAAAGAAGGAGAACACGTCTCAGAAGGCGCGAGGGGCTTGTGAGGAGCACCGCCGCCTCCTGAGAGGGTCTGCCCCCCCTCTCCCCCCCCCCCCAGCGCTCGCTGCCGACACGAGGCCCTCACGATTTGCTACCGACCGCCACCCCCTTCGTGGGCGCCGCCGCCGCCGCCAAAGCCGCCGCCGTCGGCGTCGCCGTCGTCGTCGCCGCCGCCGTCGTCGTCGTCGTCGTCGTCGTCGTCGTCGTCGTCGTCGTCGTCGTCGTCGTCGTCGTCGGCGGCGGCGGCGGCGGCGGCGGCGGCGGCGGCGTGCGCGCGCAGGAGCACCGCGGGGCACGGCGCCGCCGGCCCGCCGGGGCCCTGCGCGGGCGCGGCGGCGGCGCCCCGCGGCGTGGCGGGCGGGGCCTGCGCCAGGCGCGCGCGCTCGCGCGCTCGCGCGCGGGGGAAGCACCCATCGGGCCGTCGCCTTCCTCCCTCCTCCCTCCTCCCTCCTCCCTCCTCCCTCCTCTCCTCCCTCCTCCCCTCCTCCCTCCTCCTCTTCCCTCCTCCCTCCTCCCTCCTCCGCCCTCCTCCTCCTCCTCCGCCTCCGCCTCCGCTCCGCCTCCGCCTCCCGCCTCCCTCCGCCTCCGCCTCCGCCTCCGCCTCCGCCTCTGCCTCCGCCCTCCTCCTCCTCCTCCTCCTCCTCCTCCTCCTCCTCCTCCCCTTCCTCCTCCTCCTCCTCCTCCTCCTCCTCCTCCTCCTCCTCCTCCTCTCCTCTCCTCCTCCTCCTCCTCTCCCTCCTCCTCCTCCTCCTCCTCCTCCTCCTCCTCCTCCTCCTCCTCCTCCTCCTCCTCCTCCTCCTCCTCCTCCTCCTCCTCCTCCTCCTCCAACCGCCTCCCCCTCCGCCTCTGCCTCCTCCTCCTCCTCCTCGTCGTCGTCCTCCTCCTCCTGACCCCAACACGGTCCCAGGAGGTCGAACATGGCAAGATAGCCTCCGACAGACCTCCAGCAGGCCTCAAGACAACCTCAAGATGGCGCAAGATACTGGCTCAAGATAGCCTCCAACAGCCTCTAGCCGAGCATGGCTCACGATAGCCTCCAAGAGGCGTCAAGAAAGCATTCCGATCGTGTCTGGATGGGCTGGTGGGGATGGGCGAAGCGCCAAGAATTTAGCCAGGCGTGAAGTGGTAGCCGTTGTCGTCGTTGTTGGGCCTTCACCATCCGAAGTGGATTGCGAGAGAGTCTCGGGCCAGAACGCCAATCCTGAGAGCTGGAGCGTCTTCGGCAAAGGCGCCTCGAAGTCTGTCCCCGGGAAGTATCGAACGTGAGCCGTTGTCGTCGCACTTGGGCTTTCACAATCCTGACTGAATTGTGGGGAGGTGTCGAGCGAGAGCGCCGTTCCTGAGTTTTTGGACCTCCCTGGCCAGGGCGTCTTGGAACAAATTTGATGACGTATCGAGCGGGTGCAGTGTCCTCATAGTTGGAGCTTCGTCAACCAGGATTGGCAAGTAAACCCGCGCTCGAGCGGGAACCTCGTATGCATAGAGATGTATAGTCCGCGTCGAAGAGAGAGCGCCGGAATCAATTTCATTGAACAGCAATGACATCTCCAGCGCAACTTCAATTAGGGGAACGCTTCCTAAGCGGTATTGCTGGGCATTGCTTGGCATTCGTTGGTATTGATTTGCTTTGCTTGGCATTGCATTGCATTGCTTGGCGTTGCTTGGCTGTCCTTGGCATTGCTTGGCATTGAGTGGCATTGTTTTGTATTGTTTGGCGTCGCTTGGAATTTCTTGGCATTGCTTTGATTTGCTTGGCATTGCTTGGCGTCGCTTGAGATGTACTTGCGTTGGGTCAACATCAAAAAAGCAATATGCCGACCCATCGGCGTGTGTGAGACGCTGTCGTCGTCATCGTCGCCGTCGTCGTCGTCGTCGCCGCCGCCGCCGCCGCCGCCGTCGCCGCCGTCGCCGCCGCCGCCGCCGCCGCCGCCGCCGCCGTCGTCGTCGTCGTCGTCGTCGTCGTCGTCGTCGTCGTCGTTGCCAGTCCCAAGCGAACGCAGGCACGAACAGAGAACATGAACGCCGCAATGAAGTCGACTCCCTCTCCTTTTTGCCCTCCCTGGGGAGGACGGGGGATGGTCGTTGCCAGTCCCAAGCACATGCAGGCACGAACAGAGAAAATGAGCGTCGCAATTAAGTCGACCCCCTCTCCTTTTTGCCCCCCCTGACGGCGGAGGGGGGGGGGGGGGGGCAAGGGGGCGTAGAAAGAGGCGGGTTACGGGTGGGGTCCCAGGTCAGATTACCACCTCCCACCCGCGGGGTCTGGGCGGCGGCCCCCCCCTCCCCTCCGCGGTCTCTCCTCCCGTGTACAACTGACTACCTACCAGACCACCCCAGCCCAACCCGAAGACCCGAATTTCGGGTTGGGGGGGTAAGGGTTCCACGCGTGTTTTTTCGATGTTCCCCGACCCCCCCCCAACTGGAACTCTAAGGTAAATCTGAGCCTTCGGGTTGGGTTGGGGTGGTTTGGTGGGTGGTGAACAACAAGGGAGGACAAGGGCTCCCCTCCGTGGGAGGGGTGCCCTGAAGGGGGTCCTGGGCCCTGGGGGAGATCCCGCCCGTGGGGGGGGAGGGTGGTCCCGGGTCCGAATGCCGCCCCCTCCTCCTCCTCCTCCCCCCTCCTCCTCCTCCCTCCTCCTCCTCCCTCCTCATCCTCCTCCTCCTCCTCCTCCTCCTCCTCTCCTCCTCCCCTCCTCCTCCTCCTCCTCCTCCTCCTCCTCCTCCTCCTCCTCCTCCTCCCTCCTCCTCCTCCTCCTCCTCCTCCTCCTCCTCCTCCTCCCCCCCCCCCGGGGGATCCAGGCAAATCTGGCGGGGGGGCGCCAGCGGGGATCCCGGTAGAGGTCCCGCCGTCAGGGTCGGCGGCACCGGCCGTGAGGCCTTCACAAGAAGCGGGGGAAGTGCAATGAACCCGTATCATCAGGACGCGCGGCAAAGAAGCAAGGGCCTTGGGGGCCCATGTTCACGCTCTTCGAAGGAGGCTGGCCAGCGAATGTCGCTAAGGATGGGACCGAAGGGGCAAGGATGCAAAGGCACCCTTGGGAAGGTTACTCGTCCTAAGTGCGCGGGTTGACAGTTGGGGAACCCGAGAAGGGCCGGCCTTACAAAACGACAAGACATCCAAGCCAGAAGAACCTGGGGAGCCCTGCGGGAACCCGAGGGACGCCGGCTGGCACAGGCCTGTGCCCTGATTACCGGCTGCTCCAGAACAAGCAGAAGCGGCTAAGGCAAGCCCAGCTTGGGAATGACTCCTTTTCGCATCGGAGAGCAAGGGTGGCATCGGACGGACGGCAACGCAGATGAACCATCCGCGCCGGCCCACCCAGCCGTCGTGGGAGAGCTGCACGGGGAGGCCTCTCAGCACAGAGTGAGGCGACACGAATCCATCCGAGAACGTGTCACAAGCCACTGGGGAAGGGAGGAGGGGGAACAAAGAGAGAGAGAGAGGACGAGGACGAGGAGGGAGAGTGGGCAGCGTGGCTGCCCAAAAGAAAGAATTTCTCCTTCCCGCCGACGGCGGGCGTGACGGAGGGGGGGGGGGGACGGGAGGGGGCGGGGTGGTGGCAGCAAGCAACGCCCCCCCTCCCTCCTCCTCCTCCTCCTCCTCCCTCCTCCTCCTCCTCCTCCTCCTCCTCCTCCTCCTCCTCCTCCTCCTCTTCCTTCTCGTCCTCCTCCCTCCCTCCCTCCCTCCCTCCCTCCCTCTCTCCCTCTCTCCCTCCCTCCTCACCCCTCCCCGCCGTGTGAATCTGGCACCACAGACTGTGGCGCTGGACGCACTGCGGCAGTGCAGGGCGCACTGGGCGGGGGGGGGGCGGGGGGGAGAGGGGGGAGAGGGGGGGTCATAACGCGCGTTCTGGTCCAGATGGGAAAGCAACGCTCTAAAACGGCTTGCACACGCATCGGCTGCTTTGATCCCTGGCAAGACCCAGGAGTAAAAAAGCACCGGCGCAGAGGAGGAGGAGGAGGAGGAGGAGGAGGAGGAGGAGGAGGAAGATGAGGAAAGACAATTGCCGAGAGAAGCCTGCTCCGAGGATGGGCTGGCATCCTGCGGGCAACTAGCTCGCAAGCGAGTGCGCAGACCCAAGCGGGCTGTGTCAAGGGCACAGGCACTGAGATCCCGCACGAGCGAAGGAAGGACACAGGAGGAGGAGGAGGAGGAGGAGGAGGAGGAGGGAGGAGGAGGAGGAGGAGGAGGAGGAGGAATAGGAGGAACCAGAAACTTGGGACGTCCTTGATGAGTACCCAACGAACACGGCGACGACGACGGCGACGGCGACGACGACGACGACGACTGACGACGACGACGACGACGACGGCGGCAGCGGCGGCGACGGCGGCGGCGGCAGCGACGACGACGGACGACGACGACTGACGACGACGACTGACGACGACGACGACGACGACCACGACGACGACGGCGGCAGCGGCGGCGGCGGCGGCGGCGACGACGACGACGACCACGACGACGACGACGACGACTGACGACGGCGGCGGCGACGGCGACGGCGGCGGCGGCGGCGACGACGGCGGCGGCTGGCCGCGCGTGCGGGGGGCGGGCGGCTGACCGGGGCCGTGGAGCTGGTCGCCCTCGGGGAGGGCGGCAGCGGCGCGGCCGGCTGCGCGGCCTCGGGGGGGGGGGGGGGGCTGCGCCGGCGGGGCCGGCCGCGCGAGGAGGGGAGGAGGAGGCAGGCGGAGGAGGAGAGGAGGAGGAGGAGGAGGAGGCGGAGAGGCTGAGAGAGGATGAGGAGGAGGAGGCGGAGGAGGCGGGAGTGGCGGAGGCGGAGGAGGAGAGGCGGAGGAGGAGAGGAGGAGGAGGGGGTAAGGAGGCTCGAGGAGGAGGAGGAGGAGGAGGAGGAGGAGGAGGAGGAGGAGGATCGAGGAGGATCGAGGAGGAGGCTCGAGGATCGAGGAGGATCGAACAGGAGGAAGGTCAGGATCGAGGAGGATGAGGAGGAGGAGGCGGATTGAGGAGGGTCGGGGATCGAGGAGCATCGGGGATCGAGGATATTCGAGCGGGAGGATGAGCAGCAGCAGCAGCAGCAGCAGCAGCAGCAGCAGCAGCAGCAGCAGCAGCAGCAGCAGCAGCAGCAGCAGCAGCAGCAGCAGCAGCAGCGGGGAGAGCGAGGAGCAGGAGTATGCCAACTGCCTGTGGCACCCTCGCGAGGCCGCCCTGGAGAAGGATCCTGGCGGCCCAGGCCGCGACACGCGAAGCGCGGCTATCTTCGCGCCACTGGGGGTGACCTGGTCGATCCCAGCTCCTCCGTCATCGACGATCCGTGGGATCGCCGTCGCCGGCATCGTCGTCGCTGTGGTCGCCATCGTCTCCTCCGTCTTCGTCGACGTCGCATTCGACGGCGG